ATTGCACCCAGCATCAGGGGCAAGCCACGGTCAACCGGTTTACCGCTCTGTTCGACTCCGTAAATGGAGCACCGTGTCCTCGGAATGGTCGTCTATAAGTTCCGAGCCCTCCGAGCACGCGGCAGGGTGTGAGAAATGGCGCCTGATCGAGGTATTCTGAACTCAAGAACTTACCGGGCGAGAGACACGACCTTTTTTCTTTGGGTGTAGGCCGGTTTCTTCCCATAATACAATCGTGGTCCAAAGGAGCCATGCAGGTACGGCCTCGAGGTCGCTGATTAGTTCCGTTAGCTCTATACTCTCATGGTGCTCATTGAGCCACCCGGTGTTCGGTGTAACTCTTGTGACCGTTGTATTCTTGGTGCGGTTCAGCAAGATTGAGCCTACCAGAAATGGCTATGTGGAGGCTGCAACGTATTCGTAGATGACTACTAGATGGGGATTTGGAGATTGTCACCCACTTCCTCCCCCACGGGGAAACCTGCACATGAGTGGAAAAGGGCTAACAGGGTGGATCCGTGACCCCGGACAGTGCATGTTCGATGCAGAATCCCGTGAAACACCGTGACTAGTCGTTTGTGCGGAGCTGCTAGGAAAGAGAGAGACTCTATGCGACTGGTCCAGAAGGAGGTTTCGAGGCATGGAGCTGAAGATCAAAAGGCAGAGAGGGTCTTTTGGCCCGTCGTCAGAAGACCTCCCACGCCGCCCTTCGACCCTGCACCAACCTCTCAGAAAAGTCTGCTTCGGGCACGACACGGTCAGAGAATGAATCAGAAACCCCAAGAAGAGAAGTCCAGCATGTCAAAGGAAGAGGTAGCTGAGCATCATGAGAGCTCCAAGGCGACTACCGCGCATAACAAGGCCGGTATCACACTCGTGCCAGCGCCTTCAGATGATCCCCGCGATCCTTTGGTACGTCTTTTTGTTCCATTCCACCCTCCGACGTGTCCTATTGACCGGCTTTGAATAGAACTGGTCGCGAGGAAGGAAGCTCCTGACTCTTTTCATCGTGTCATTCGCCGGGTTCACTGGCACTCTCCAGGCCGTGGGCAATGTGTCCAGTGTATTTCAGCAAGGGGCACTGTACGACAAGACTCCGGTCGAGATCACATATTCGGTGAGAGAAATACTGTTGCGCAGATCGCAATGCTCAGAGAGGCGTGTGCTGACACCGTCGGCTAGGTCTCTGCAGCCACTGCTGGACTGTGTGCCGGCCCTCTCTTCTGGTCGCCTGTTTCGAGAAGGATTGGTCGCGGCGGCAGCATCCTGTGGGCCACCGCACTCACCCTTGCCTGCACGGTTTGGGCGGCAACGTGCACGGGCTCGGGAGACTACTACAGCTTTGTCCTGTCTAGGCTGTTTGGCTGCTTAGCGGGCTCCTGCGCGACGACAGGTAAACGAGGCCGTCCATCATCTCGAACCCTGAACGTACTCCTGCTAACCCAGGTGGATTGCCAGTGGGCGCGAGCTATATCACCGACACCTTCTTCCTGCACCAGCGAGGGAAATGCTTCGCCTTTTACAATGTGATGATCCTCCTGGGGTAAGGCCACATGCATCCACGCCCCCGAGTTTCAACAAAAGTCATTCCAGGTGGCTAACCCTAGCATCGAACAGAACGCTTGCGGGGCCGACTTTCTCCGGCTTCGTGGTCGGCAACGGAGCGCCCTGGAGCATAGAATATTGGTACAACGTCGGACTCGAGGGGTTCGTCATCTTGTTGATCTTCTTCTTTCTGGAGGAGACCGGCTGGACGAGACCTGGAAGGCCGGCGTATCCCATCCCCGCCACATCCTTCCTTCGACGCTCAATCGATGTCTATCTCTTCCGAAAACCGAACGTGGCCGAAGGCATGACGAATAGAGAGGCTGTGAGTATATCTATCCATCATGGATGAGACTCGGTCGCTGATGTTTTCAGCTCCACCTGGCTACCATGCCTGTCCGAATCGGTGTTCACCCTGTTGGCATACTGGGAGGATTGTTCTTGATGATCGTCTTCGGGTGGTATGTCCTTCTCTCCTTGTCAGTTGTGGAAATAATGTTCTCATACACATTCCTCACAGGGGCGTCGGTGTCAACAATCTGCTTGCTGTCTTCTTGCAGTCGCCCGTGAGCGAAAAGGGCTATGGTTTCACTCCAAACCAGAATGCAGAGTGTGAGTTTCTCACGATGGTTCACCCCTTTTCTGTCTGATGTTTGTGAACAGTTACCTTTGCGGCCTGGTCGGGCTGCATTGTTGGCCAACTATACGGCCTCGCCTTCAACGACCGACTGCCGCTCTGGATCTGTCGAAAGACGGGCGGCATTTGGAAGCCCGAGTTCCGTCTGCATGCGCTGTGGTTCCCGACATTCTTCTGCTTGAACGTCGGCCTGGGCCTCTTCGGCGCCGCCCTGCAATACCACTTGCACTACATGGTCGCCGCCGTGGGCAACTTCCTGCTCAACTTCTCCTCCAACGTGGCCGTGCCCGTCATCGTCAACTACGAGGTCGAGTGCTTCACCAAGTACCCCGTCGAGGCAGCCACGATCATGAACTTCTACCGCACCATCTTTGGCATCGCCATCCCCTTCTTCATCGACGGCTGGGAGGCCGAGGTCGGCGTCGGCTGGGTCTTTGGCATGATGGCCTTTGTGTCCCTCGCGGCTTTCTGCCTGGTCATTGTCCTCATGCTCGCGGGCCATCGCATCCGCCACTGGTTTCACACCGACATCATGTCTAGTGAGGAAGGCACAAAGATCATCGGGGAGGAGGTGAATCGTCTGGACGTGGAGGCGCATTGAGCTTGGTATCTATCTGCCTGGGTGAACGGTCAGTCAAACTGGTGTCTTCTGAGGCGAATCCGGACCCATGCACAGGTCTGCAGGAGGTAGACATGAGATATTCCACAAGGCCAGAATCACAACGCCGTTGCAAGGAGCCCGTTTCGATTTCATTGTTGCCGTTCTCCTAAATTCACTCTTGTAATGTCGTCGTCGTCGCCGCGGCAGCATACAGCGAGGCGTATACGCCTGTAGGTGAAGAACGATCCACCATAGTCGAACCGCTCTTTTCCGCTGAATCGCGCCCCTCTCTACGCACCCATTGTTCCAACAATGTGTTTGTCCTCCTTCATCAAACGTTTCGTCCCGTAATCGTCTTCCTTGTCATCTTCTCCTTGTCCGGCTTTCATTCGTCCTCACTGCCAGGTTTGCACACTGAGCCAGTTTCGCAGAGAGAGACCCACCAAGCAAACCGAGTCAAACAAAACGAAACCCAGAAAGATGGCGGAAACAGGATCAAACAGTCAATACCCCTTGCTCATCTTCATTGTTGGTATGTTGCTGCCTCTATCCGCACGCCAAAGACGATCTCCCCATCGAGATCTCAGTGGTATACCCACCTCCACACACGCACCCGCGCGCGTGCGTGCGTGTATGGGTACATCTATGGCTGATACGGTCCTAACATTTCGTTTACCACAGGCGTCCCGGGGTCCTTCGCGCACGAAATCGGGCAGCAGATCGCGTACGAGTACGGCTTCTTCTTCATCGGGGTCACGCACCGGTTCAACCGGCCGCTGGACGAGCAACGCGAGGCACTGGCCCACAGCCTCGACCACTCGGGCCACAACAACCGCCACGCCCGCCTGCCGTACCTCGGATCCTGGCAGCTGGACGAGCGGGTCGGGCACTTCCTCACGCAGACCCAACACCTCCGGCACCGCGCCTGCCTGGTCATCGAGGGCTACCCGCGGCACACGCGGCACATCCCCGCCTTCTGGAAGCCGGCCCAGCGCCTGTTCATCCACTGCGAGTGTCCCAAGCCGGTGGCCGAGCGGCGCGCCGTGGGCGGGCCGCGGGACTGGGATGCCACCGCGCCCGTAGACCGCCGCGTCCGGGACGCCAGCGGGTGGAACCACAGCACCGCGGGGCTCGAGTACTGGGAGGCCAAGCACGGCTTCGACGAGGACTGCCGCATCTTCGGCCGCCGCATCGCCTCCCTGATCGGCCACTTCGTCGCCGCCACTAGCGCCACCGCCGACGACGACCATCGAGCGCCCAGCGGCGACGGCTGGAGGACCGTCCTACGCAGTGTGCTCCGCGAGAGCTTCGTCCCGGGAAAGGTCCTCGTGCTGGACACGGGCGAGGGCGACTTTGACCACTGCTGGGCCCGCGCGCGCGACCGGCTGCAGCATAGTCTCGAGTTCCGCACTTTGCTCTGCGAGGTCGAGAGGGATTTTGAGACCATGGCGGATGAGGACGACGAGGATGGTGATGATGATGACAACTGATGGCAATTGATGACAATTAAGGGCGAGGAAGGGCATGAACATCAGCATTGGCATGAGCATGAGCATAAGGAACTGAGCATGAACATTGAAGAAAGCTCCCAGAACAGGGGATACAGAATGCGGCGTGTTGAGTAGGTATTCGCGGGGTGGAGCATTCTTCTCGATGTGGCTAGTTCGCTGAGATACGAGCAACATTGGGCCCCCCGGCCAGATGGGGAAGACTTGGGATTTTTTACTTGGTTAGGTCCTCTCCGACGAAAAACCTATTACGCCTCTTTTGTTGGCGGTTGAAAGTCACTTGTCTTTCATTAGCAAAACACAATGCTACTGCTGCAACACGAATTACCATGTACGAAACCCCGGCTTCCCCACCGAATACATGGAGCGACCAATGTCAGTCACGCTCGACAGGTATTGGAATCTACGCTGGATCCGGCCTTTCCTTTGTGGGAATTTGACACAACAGAGTAGCGATGATATTCCACTAGATAACTGCCTCTGAGCTTCTCCATGTGCTGGGGGTGGGGGTGGGGGTTAATGCAGACATGTCACATTGGCTACCGGGGTCGTTTCCGAGGGGAATTTTTTGTTCTGATTCCCTGGCTTTGGATTGATAGCCACACTTTTCGACGTCGCAACTATGCAAGACGTCGTTGTCTGAAATGCTCATCCAACATGAGATACGCATCCAGAAGAACCTGTGCCCCCTCGGCACAACTGGGTCAAGTTAGCATCTTCTCACAAGCCCGATGGCCAGTGAACAAACGAACTCTTCGGGCCGACTATACTCGCTCGGATGGTGGCTGACACCGTCTCTACATCTCACGAATATCATCCCCGTTGGACAGTGCCAAGCCGTGTACATGCTGAAGTCATCGTCAGCATTTCCGAACCAACGACTGGATGACACAAACGTAACTTGCCTGTCATGTCCTGCGCCACTAATGAGTTGTCTCCGATACCCACGTGCCAGGGCTGCTTCCCCGATACAGGTCGAGGCCGTGTTGTTAAAATGTAATGCTGGGCTATCGAAAATCGGGTTCAGCCTAACCTCGATGTTCATGCGTTTTGCAATGGCGTTGATAGAGCGTTGACACTCTTCGTCCAGGGAATTCATCTCGTCATCACTCGGGCTGCGCAAGTCCAGGAATAGTTCAACCTGGCCAGCTATTGTGTTTATCGCCTGGGGCATGGAGTTGATGACCCCAACGGTAGTGCGGAGACCTTTATCAATAGACTCTGATGTGGTTGCTATGTGGTTGACGCTGTCAATGACTCTCGCTGCCGCGAGCAAAGCGTCTCGTCGGCGATTCATTGGTGTAGTACCAGCGTGTGACTCCCTGCCGATCAGTTGGATCCCGTACCAACGGATTGCCTGAATCCCACTGACCACCGCGACGCTCTCTCTGTTTTCGTCCAGCACGGGTCCTTGCTCGATATGAACTTCTAGATGTGCACTTAGTGGATTGGTCATGTATGAGCACTCGACTGACGCCGCATCCAAATACCCAATGCGTCGCAACTCGTCACCCAGCTTGTTGCCCCCAGCGTCCGATCTCTCATGCGCGAACTCGACGGTATACTTACCACACCAGACGCCCGAACCGAGCATGGAGGGCAGGAAACGCGCGCCTTCTTCATTCGTCCAGTTCACGACGGCGAGAGGCGCGTATGTTGTCATGCCAGCCTCATGGACTGTTGCGAGCACCTCGAGAGCGCAACATATGCCTATCGACAGGACGTCAAACCCCACTGCTCCTGAACACAATCTAAAGGTTGACTTCCTGAACACAATTGAATGCTCTACTCACCCAATATGCCATCATACTTGCCTCCTCTTGGCTGCGTGTCCAAATGCGATCCCAGAGCAATGGGAGGGATGTTGTTGTTCTGGCCAGGTCGAATTCCGAATATGTTGCCCATCTGATCAACCTAGGGTGACACAATTAGCTATTCACGCCAGCCCACAGAGATGAGATTTCCCATGCATACTTTGGTCTCGCAGCCATACTGTCGACATTGTGTCATAAACCAGCCTCGGACTTTCCCATCGTCGTCGTCAGCTGCCAATCTGCCTAGCGCAGTTGGTCAGCCGGATTCTCGACGAATTCATCGCAAGACCTAATAGCATACACATGCCACCGTTGCCTAAGCTACCCCATGCACAGCTCGATACGAGGTTGTCGTTGAGTCTCGTGGCGTTTATCCGCATCTCGTCCTTGGCCATAATGATGGTGCGCTCGCTCGAAGCACAAGGCCCTCGTTCTCCGACCCCTACATGTATCATGGAAAGCACTGGCCCCCGTAGTATTGTGTGAGATTCGCGCACATCCGTCCATATCCTAGCCGAGGCACTGCATAATCGCCCATGGCCTCGCCGCTGCCAGGAACGCGGGTGATATCACTCACCTCTCCTTCCCGTAAGCTGGTCCCTGGCACCACTTGTTCATCATGGTGAAAAAGCGCTGAAACCCGTGAGGTCTGTGTGTCAGGTCATATGAGGTCCATAAGAACAAAACCACCGGGCGGTCACTGGAGAGGGCTAATCAATTCGTCTCCTGGCTGAACGAAATTCCCACAACGATGGCGTTCCAGTAGATCCACAATGCGGAGGTAGGCGACTGTCGTCGCTCCCCTGGCTCAAAGGATGTGGTTTCCTCTTCGTTCTGTGCAACTATTCTTTTCTTTCGCAGCTCGCTTACGGAACTACAGTTGTCATTCAGTACTGTTTTAGCCAGACCGAGGAGAAGCAGTCTCTATCTTGAATCTCCTGTCCGACGAAGGATTGCGCGTGATCACCACCCCTTCCGAGCAGTCAAATCAAGATGTCGACTGTGCAGATCCTGATTCTCGGCAGCGGTGCTGTAGCAGGGCCATGTGTCGACTATCTGCTGCGAAACCCGCGGAACAAACTCGTCATTGGTTCGGTTCATGTTTCAAATTGCCGTCAACTCTCTAGATCGTTTGCTAACGAACGACGTCCAGGTTGCCGTAACCTGGAGACCGGAACAGCGGTAGCGGCTGGTCGTGATAATATCCAGGCGGTCCAAATCGACGTCGAAGATCTGACAGAGTTGGATCGAAGGGTTGCGGCCAGCGACCTTGTAATTTCGCTCGTTCCTTATGCGCATCACGCCAATGTGATCTTGGCCGCGATCAAAGGCAAGACGAATGTGGTGACAACAAGCTATACTTCTCCAGCCATGCGAGAACTCGAAACCGACATCAAAAATGCCGGAATCACCGTGCTGAATGAGGTGGGCGTGGACCCAGGCGTCGACCATCTGTATGCCATCAAGATGATCTCTGAAGTGCATTCCAAAGGTGGAAAGGTAAGGAAGGACCTAGACTCGGTCTGCTGCCTGGCCCATGAAATTTTGGCTCCTTTTGGCATTCAACAGAACTTGTCTAACGTGGGGTTTTACGTACAGATCAGGGAGTTTCACTCTTACTGTGGCGGATTGGCCATGCCGGAGGTGTCTAATAACCCTCTGAGGTTCAAATTTTCTTGGTCACCCAGAGGTGCTCTGCTGAGCCAGTACAACCCGGCCATTTTCCTCCAGAACAACAAAGTGGTCGAAATTTCACGGGATGACCTGATGGACCACGCCCAGCCACGTTTTGTCGGCGAGGGTTACTCTTTTGTAGCCTACCCCAACCGAGATTCCACTCCTTTTCGAGACTTCTATGGCATCCCGGAGGCACACACCGTTGTGCGAGGATCGTTGCGCTACGAGGGCAATCCGGAGCTCTTCCGTGCACTGGTCAAGCTAGGTTGGCTGGACACCGAGCCCAGCGAATGCCTTCAGCAGGGATCGACTTGGGCCCAGATCCAAAGCCGTCTGATTCGGGCTGCGGGCTCGGACGAGAGGTAAGAACTGAACTTGCCTTGGGCGTGCAGAATACTTGCAGCTAACGTGAGTACCGATCACTGGTGATGCGCATCGATCAACTTTGCTCGTTTCGCAACGACACCGAGCGTGATCGCATCCTTTCGGGTCTACGGTGGATGGGACTCTTTTCAAACGAGCCAGTCAAGGTCAAAGCAACGCCTCTCGACACTCTCTGCGGTCGACTCAAGCAGATGATGAGCTTTGAGCCGGGTGAGCAGGATCTCGTCATGCTTCAGCATACTTTCGTGGTCGAGTGGGAAGAGGGCCACACCGAGACCTTTACATCCACCTTGGCTCTCAAGGGCGACCCGAAGGGATACTCGGCCATGTCAAAGTCTGTCGGCGTTACTTGCGGTGTCGCGACGCAGCTGCTTCTCGACAAGCATGCAGGCTTCACCGACCCGGGCCTCTTGGCGCCATATGTACCAGAAATCTGCACCCCAATCCGAGTCTTGATCGAAAAGGAAGGCATTATGATGGTGGACAAAAAGGTCAGCTCTGGCTAGCGTGGAGGATGTTTGGACGAAAAGGGATCAGCAAGTCAGACAGTTGTATCCGAGGAGGGAATGAGCGTTAGCTATCCGCGCACTTCTTAGACTGTAAGGTTAGGCTCTAATATAGGTCGGGTTAGCCCGCTAGGTTTTAGGTTGGGTTGGGTCAACTAGTCGGGTCAAAGAGGTCCTAACCCAACCCCAACTCGCTAAGAAAACTGTCACGGTCTGCCCAGCCTTCCCTAGGATCTACTAGGCTATCCTGGGAAGTGCCAAGCCCGTAGGCCCTATCCCAGCTTATCGCATAGGAGGAGTAGGCTCCCTCCTAAAACTTCTTCTAATATAGTGGATAATCTCTATATAGACACTCCCTTTAGCTACTATCTAGTAGTTAGGTTCTAGCTACGTTACTATACTAAACGGTGGACCTTAGAAGTCCCTCATAATTTTATCCACTATATTCTTCACCCTAACGGTATAGGACGTCGTACGCGGGTCACGAGCGTATAGTATATCTAGCGCGGCGCGAACGCGTAGTCATATACGCGGTTAAAGAACCCTATCGAATCTAGCTAAAGAAGCTAACCTAGAGGCTAAGGTCTCTAAAGAGACTACGGGTCGCCTATAGCCTACCGTCGTCCCTAACCCTCCTGCTAAGCGACCTCAAGTGGACCCTATTGTAATGGGAAAGGTTTGAAGAGGACCTGAGGTGCAAGGTAAGGTGATTAGTCAACTTTTGGCTGTACATTGTACAGGCAAACGTTGCCACTCTCTGATTAGTCAGTTCGAGGGTACCACTTTAGCTTGGTGGTCTTTTCTTTTGTTATTCGCCTGGGCAGATAGACAGATAACAACACAATTAATCAACTGCTTTACAAGATGTGAACGTGCCTGTTACATACCGCCGTACGAGTTGGCGCCTATGGCTAGAAGCCTCGCCCCAGTTCACTAGTAGTGTTTCCTTTTATCTATATAAGAGCGTTCTCTCCTCTCAGATAGTTGACTTAACTAAGATTCCCAACAGTCACGTACATTACCTTAAGGTACGATCCTATAAGCCAATCTACCTATTATACTCCATATCCTCCGAACAAAAGGAGTAGTCTAAATTTAACGCGGATTACACTAAAATGTTCGTCTCGATAAGAGCTTTTAAATGGTCTAAAATCTATAATGATTAGAATAAAAACGAGAAAGTTATCGCGAGATGTAGTAGTTAATGTAAAAGATTTAGGGTGGTAAGGACGCGGCGACTATAACAAAAGCTGCCGGCTTGGCAAAGCTTTCCGTCGATTTAGGTACAAATAGGAACACAAGGGATACCCCGATCTAACCTTCGTCCATTACCATTTTCGTTCCGGAAAGGGAGCGAGGCCGCTTTAATGGCGCACGTGACGGAGCATCGGGGACGCGCGGCCGAGCGCGGGAGAGCGTCGAGGGAGCCACGGGGGAGCCACGGGGGAGCACCGGGGGAGCGCCGCCCTGATGCCGATCCGTAGAAGCTAGTTCGGGTTTAGGGGTTCCCTTTGGGCATCGGCTATAGTTACATAGTTGTACCCCTTATTCGTTTCCCACACCATACGTACCCAGGGCCATTTCATACTGTATGCGAGTCATTAAGCCATGAGCGTGCTGCTAACGGAAACCTCGGGGGAATTGCCAGCGAGCCGTGTAGCCTAATAGCCTCCAGCGTTCATCATTAGTGCTGACAAACTTCTATGCCTCCGCCTGATGACAAATAACTTAGTCAGGGCGGGGGATGGTCTAAATGGATTTGGTGGATTTCGGCGACAGTTCAAATGACGATTTAGAGGGCTATAGTTAGCACCGAGTTAGATGGCTCAATCACACGCTCGATGGTATAATAATTGAGTTAATGACATTTAAATGACAGAGGTGGATTTCGTAAGCAACCAGTACCTCGGAGCTGTCCTCCTTTCTAAAAGAGGACTGGAGATCTCGAATCCCTGTCCGACCTGTAAAGATAAATGCGACAATGGGCGCTCTGCAGTTAATGGTTCTGATCCTTAGAAGCTGGAAATACTGGTAACTAGTCAATGCCCTTCATGCATTTGAGGGCACAAAGAATTCCCCATGGCTTCCTCTGTGGACTCATCTTTGATTAGGTTCGTGCTCGTCTCCAAGCCATGGCAGTCACAGCGGGAATATGAGCTAGAAATCGCAAAGCGACGGGCTCATTCAGCACGAGTGTCACACTTGAAAAGGGCGCTCTCGAGACGAGCCGAAACTGGTGGCCATTTGCCACAAAAATCTGCTTCTTCGCGTCGAATCCTGTTAAATCCTGGGTCGTCACTGAGCATCACCACAACACAAGTTGTCGGAGGAAGCAATGCTAGTATCTGGCAACTCTTGGAAGGACTTAGTGAAGAGGAGCAGGATGATCTTGCGCGAGACGCCTATGATTTATCCTTAGCCCACGTACGCAGAGAAGCATTGAAGCTGGTTCCTGGAGGTAACTCTGACGCATTTGGCTGTCTCTCAATCAAGGTCACCTCCCGGGTCAACCAAATCCTCACCTTCTGCCGCGACGCCGGCATCCCTGGTCTGTTCTTTACACCTTTCTTCCGTCGAATCTCCTGCCCCACGTCCAAGGCCACGGTCTTGGAACCCTCGACCATGCTCTCCTCTCCGAGCGCGGTGCTGAACTGGAGCCTTGTCTCACAGGCGCTGACTGACCAAGGGGCGGCCATGGCTTTGATCTCTTCGAATCTGCTGATGATGTGCCTCTTCCTCCCGGCCAGTGGCATCCAGACCTTTCGCGAGATAGCCATGAAGATGGTTTCTCGCAGCATGGCTCTGCTGAGGATCGAGATCGCAGCAGTGATAAAAAGGACAAACGCCAAGGCGTCTAAGTTCCTAATACTTCAGATTTACTGGCTCTACCGAGTCGAATGCATCAGTCGAAACTTGGCGGCGGCAAACGTGCATGCGGGCATGCTTTATCGCTTCATCGAAGAGCTTGGCGAGGAGGATCGGGAATTCAAGTACTACATGTATCTTTGCATGTTATTTCTGGGCGTCGACATGACCATTGGGTCGCTGAAGAGAGGTGCGTGCGACTACGGTCCGTATGCCCTAGTTATGGCATCGCATCTGCAGAGAGAAGCTGCACCTTACCTGGAACATCTTCCCAGCCAATACAAGCATCCGGATCCCATCGTCAAAATCGAACCCCTACGCTCGATCTTAGTCAGAGCGCGACGGTTGATAGCGTTGATGCAGCACAGTCTTCCGCGAGAGACGTGTGGCGACGCGTCAAAGAGGTTCATTGTTTCCCACTGCTGTGTCATCCAGAACTATCTCGACACGCTGGATCTACTTTACATGTACCTGGACACTCTCGAGGGAAAGAACCCGTACTCACTGGAAACTTTGGGCCAGGAGTATACCCACGCGGCAGTCGCTTTGACGATTGTGCTCGTCTCTCGGAACCTTGTCGACGTCACAGCCATAAACGGGGTCAACCTACGCGACGCCTCTCCCGTCCTCATCCCTCGCCTGCGGGGCGTACTAGAACTCACATTCACCTTGTCAAATCCGCTCGAACTGACTCTCTACGAGGAGGCGCATCTATGGATACTTTATGTTGGGGCGACCCACGAGCAGCAGAAGCTCCGCGAGAGCCGTCGTACCGTAACCGAGACGTGGTTCAGCGATATGCTTGCTGAGAAGGCGAGAGCCTTAGGCGTTATTACCTGGCGTTCGCTAAACCTGGTGCTCGAAGATTTCTTGTATTCTGACTTCATGGAGCCACACGGGTCCGTATGGTTTGAAGAATGGGTTGCAAAAGATGCGCACTTTAATTTAACATGATATCTGTATTGTTAAACATACTGCGATTAGAATCTCATGGGTTTTGTCTTCCTGGCAATGACTAGCCAGGGGTGTGTTTTCTATAATGCATATGTATCCTTCTAAGAAACGCCTCGAATGCAACCAAAGGCCCAGGAAGTGAGAAGATCAATGCCTCACTAGAAATCCCCGTATCTTAGTTAGACATTACCATCAATTATGCTCCTACATTATATTCACCTTAGACGCCTGACCACTCCCCTTCTCCAGACACCAGCGCTAGGAACCGTTAGGCTGCGTAAGCCACTCTGCCCAATATAATCCGCCTTTTATTTTGACCCTATTATCTCATTCTTTAGCGCTTATAGCTTTACAGCCTTATATTTCTTCTGGAAGCTTATTGCCTTTATTATAGAGTGTAAGCTAAATGGTAAGGGGCGTTATATGGTTAGGCGCAGCTGTTGAGCAAACTGCGCTAAGTGGTTCTGTCTGGATCTCTGTGCAAGTATGTGTTAGGAACAGCCTTTCATACGGCCAGGAGGCGGGATACCTACAGGAAGGTCTGCCGACTGTGGCAGCCTGGCAGGACATGGACTAGGAATCAGGCTAGGTCACAAGCGGCACGTGACTATCAAAAGAGGAAATATATAACATATTAGTATATCGACCATGGACCAGACTAATATACCAACAGATCATACCTAGTTACCTATTCGGGACGAAGCTTATAAGTATATAGTTACGATCACTACCCTTTCATAGCCTAAGCCCGAACTAACTGTGAGGGTTTGGAAAGAGTTCTGCAACTAGCTAGCTAACCTAGTAATAAGGAGGATAAATCTAAGGAGAGAGAAGGAAGGAATGGCTATCCTTCCTTTCTCCTTATATCCTCTAACGCGCCGTAAGGAGGTAACTATTATCCTCACCTCCTTACTCCTTTCCTTACGTACTTATTCTAGCTCCTTACCTTCCCTTACATACTTATTCTAACTCCTTACCTTCCCTTACGTATAGTGTCTTAGTGTTACGAGCTGCTATATGACACGTGAGGTGTCCACAGGCAAACCCGCGGCGGTTTACTTAGTGATATAGTAGGGAGGGACGTTATAGCTAAGACTGGAAACTAAGTGTATAGTATGCAGACCTATATATATAGTAGATAATCGTGAGGAACTCGATTCTATATAACTATTATTGACTAT